TGACAACACAGCACAGGCTGAAGAGGGAAAGTTTTCCCTTTACCACTCCAGTTGGGAGCACATGTCAGTGTAATTAACTTCTTCCAAAAAATGTCTTCAAGGAGGAACAGGATCAGTTAAGATACAATGCCTTGCCTCATAGATAAATGGTCACATTCTCTGTATCTATAGCACTTTGAAAAGGGTAAGGCAGACAGCACAAACCCAACAATGCAGTTGGATTTATTTTTAAATCCTTTAGGATTATGTGAAACGTAGTCAGTAAATCTGAATCTCATTCTGTATGGCTTTGCTCCCTCCTGCTGGGCACTTGCACTCATCCTGTTGCCTTAAAGCCAGTGGAAACCAAACCGCAGAAGATCCTAATATTCATTTACACACACAGTGCTACATCAGTGCTGTTTGCATATTCACTTGCTCACAGTCAGGTACATGTTTCTAGATAATCGTTGTTACCTTAGACTTCATTGTTTCAGGATTCATGCACCTTAATGTCTCCAGGGGTTAATTACTACTGTCTAAATACCTGATCAAATTGAACCAACTCCCAAGGAGAACACAGAGTTTGCATTCTCCAAGTCAGAGGACTGGGAATCCAGACACCTGTGCTGTGGCTTGGACTTTGTCATTAGAGCACCAAGAGTTTTAAGCTCAGGTTCTTAGAAAATACTTTTAACTGAGTGCATTCATTTAAGAAGGGAGGTCAAACTCAGCCACCCAATTTTCAGAACTGCTGAAAACCAAAAGCCCCTAATGATTTCCTCAACATTCACTCCAAACGCAGGATCAGTGGGAACCAGGCTGGTCATGTCTGTCCGAATTCAATTAGAAAGACACCACTGATGAGAGATGCTCCTTTTAGTAGACTGGGCTGAATTTTGTGCAGCTACAAGCGAATGTAAACACACTTGCAGAGGTGCTGCAAGGATGCTCTACCCCTAGCAAAGGGCCTGGAAACGGCTGAAGGCGAACAAAAGCGATATACATGCAATGCTGAGTAGAGGAGGAAGGCTGCCGAGAGGCCCGTTGCCTTATTCCACAACCTTATTCCCTAGAGCACAAAGCAAAGGGGACAACAGCTCATCTGACTGCACCCCTGCTCCTAGGCACGTTTATGCAGAAATTAAAATCAAGACTCAGAAAGCAACTGCACAGCCTTCTTTGATTACGGCAGAATTATT